AAGGCTCAGGCGCCTCCTGGTGACCAACCAGCCTCCCTGCACCCTGCTCGGAGTCGGAACCCTGTCCAGGGTCCCCCACATTCTCCAAAGCCAACTCATAGGCCCTCGCTGTCAGAGTCTGGTGGCAGCTCCTGCTGGGCCACAACAGGTCACTAAATGAACTGTTGTAAGTTAAGGACTACCTGTATTGCATTCTAAGCACTGCGCTACCAAGGCTTTTAAACAAACAGCTGGACCTGTTGCAGGTCAACTGAGGACCGGATCTGCCACCACACTGATTTGGATCAACAGAGCATTTATTGAAATTTATTTCATGTCTTGCACAGAGATCTCACTGACTTTTTTTGCCTTTCTTTCCTCTCTTCCCCTCACCCCCAAAAGAAAACCTTTAACTCACGAGCTCCTGGATGCCCCTTGCATTTCTCCTCCCCAAAGGCACCTCACAATCAGCCCCCAGCTACTGCATCAAAAAGAAAACGTACCTGTACCCCCAGTTCCGCTGGGTTTTGTCACTTGGGAATGTGCATCAGCAAGCACAATGAAGAGCTGGGATTTTGTGGCTTCCACATGTTCGGGCGGAAGTTTCCGCAAAGAATCCGCAACAGCCAGAGCAAAAGTTGTGTATTCATCGTTACGACGGCCGTTATCGGGATTCAACAGTGTCATCATCGTAGTCTGAAGTTGCTCCCGGCGTAGAGTGACCAAAGCATCCAGTATCTCATCCTTTCCCATCTTCTTCCTCCTTTTTCTCGACTGGGAGACTGGTGCTTCATCCTCATCATCGTCGCTACTGTGCAGTGAGAAGACACCCGAATGCTTGGATGCGAGGTGTGATGTGAATGAGATGTCCTCCATATTCAAGGTTGAATCCAAGGAGTCTTTCTCTAGAGGCCCTGGCGTGGCATCCTCAGGCTGCAATTAATATAATTCGTGTCAATCCAAAGAGACAGATATGTTGTTACATACATAACATCTTTAAAGGCATCAATGTAATTAGCATTAAAAAAAATCTAATGAAAGTAAGTAGAGCTGAGTTGTATAGAACTGTTCGCACTACATTATGAACGTGGTGCTATTTGCTTTGATAATGCAATGCTATTTGCTTATGTATGTCTGGGTCAGAACAGAGGTGATTATCCTCAGCTCAAAATGTGGAAGGAATGTGTTTGTGGGTCAAAAGAGACCATGTACACAGTTCTCTACAAATATAAGCATGTTCTAATTAGGATGCGGTTTTCTTACCTCCGTTGCAGCACCGTTGACATTCACTTGGGTTTCCCAGAGTTTTACAAATCCTTCCAGCCAGGACAGCATTAAAGAGTGGGCCGGCGGTCCTGGATCCCTGCTCTTTGTTTTCATTCTTTTTTTCAGCCTGGCAAATTTGTCCCGCAGCTGCTTCCACTTTTCTCTGCATCGGGTTGGATCCTCCTCCAAAGCTCTTCCAATTTCTCTCCCCGAATGGGCTGCTGTCTCCTGCCTCTTGTAGCCTCTGTCTGCCACGTTGTGAAAATGTTGATGTCTCCACCCTTCGTGGGCCAGTCTCTCCTCCAGCGGCTCCATTTTGCCGTTTGGATGTCTCTCGCCTTCCCCTACACAACTGTTTGCAACCATCCGCAACCCCTTCAGAGTGTAGGTGTGGGGTAACATCCACGTGCCGTTGCAGACAAAGTGAAAGTGAACTGGGAGAATCAAAGGAGAGAAGCAACTTGGAATGAAGGAGAAACTTCCTAACAATGAGAACAATTAACTAGACTTGCCTCCAGAAGTTGTGGATGCTCCATCACTGGAGGTCTTTAAGAAGAGACTGGACAGCCACTTGTCTATAATGGTCTCCTGCTTGAACAGGGGGTTGGGCTAGATGACCTCCAAGATCTCTCCCAGTCCCAGCTCTATTCAGAATCCGCTCCAGAGGCTTTCCCCCATGAGTGACACATGCCTAGCACGGATCCGGAGGTCTGTCCCATGGCAATAGACAGACAGATAGAACGGCACACAACTTCCGGAACTGATGTGAAGGAAAAGTGAACGTTTTCCTTCGAGGCAGAGCGGCCTTCCCTTCCTTTACGCCTGCGCAGCAAATTGGAACCCGGAAGTAGTCTCCCCAAATGCCCTTTCCCTCTATTTTCACACCTTTACGTTGCTATAGAAACTTCCGGTCGGTCCTTCATTCCTCCTTCGCCCTGCGCAAGGGCCTGACCAGCGAGATGCGACGAATCGGACAGGGGCTTCCCCCGAAGGGCGGCCGCGCTTCTGCGCAGGCGCAAGCCCCGGAGCCCTATAAGTGACTTGCCGGGTCTCCGCCCGTCCCCCCCCGTGTTGGCGAGTTGGTCGGTCCCGCCGAACGTCTCCGACTCGGCCTCCGGGCCGCAACCATGTCTTCGGCGGGGGTGGAGAAGCGGAAGCGGGTGAACCTGAGCGTGAAGCAGAAGCTGGAGCTGATCGAGAAGCTGGAGTCCGGCTGGTCGGTGGCGCGGGCGTGCGAGGAGTACGGCGTGAAGAAGCAGACGGTGTCGGACATCCGCAAAGCCAAGGAGAAGCTGAAGAGGTTCGTGCTGATGTGCGACGTCGACTCGACCGGCGGCGCGGCGGAGATCGGCTCCCGGAAGCACATGAAGATGTCCCAGGAGGCTTCCCTGGAAGAGGCCGTGCTCCGGTGGTACGTGGAGCAGCGGGCCGGAGGAGCCAAGGTGCGCCGGGTCGACCTCAAAGCGGCCGCCAACGCCATCGCCGCCGACACCAAGCTCAACTTCAAGGCCAGCGACGGCTGGATCTGGCGCTTCTACAAGCGCCACGGCATCGACCACAAGCGAGCCTGCGCCGGGGAGGCCAACGCCGCCTCCGCCCCCGCCGCTGCCGAGGAAGAAGAGGACGAGGAGGAGGACGAGGAGGAGATGGCGCCGCTCGGCAGCGGCTTCTACAAGCGCTACCTCATGTCGCAGATCAGGTGGGGTGGTCGCCGCCTGGCTGGACCTCCAAGGCAGCGCTCCAACCTTCCCCACCACACACAAAAAACAGCCCTTAGGCTTACAATATATCACAGAAGTGAGCACACACACACACACACACACCTAGCTGTAGTTTTACAGCTAATTTTAAGTACTGTATTTTTCGGAGCATAAGATGCGCCAAGATTTTCAAGAGGCAAATAAATAAATAAAGGTTTTGTCCTCGGCAGACTTCCCGAAAACGGCCCGTTTTTCACGAAAAACGGCCCGTTTTTC